CCAGGTAGTCTGGCGCAGGAACTCCCCTCTCGAGTGCTCATTGGGATTTAGAAGCTGTGGCCCTGGATGCCAGCTTGTGGCAGGAGGTGAAGTAAGTTAGGCTGGGTATGCCACTCGGGGTTGCCAGTTTGTGCCTAGTAGATAGCTGAGGGCTCACTTGGCTGACAGACCTAGAACAACCTCAGATCCTTTGTCCTTTCTGACAACAAGGAAATAGGCACCAGGAAAGCTCAGAGGCAAGAAAAGAACATTGGTTGCTGAGATGGGTCTCACAGGGCTCACTCCCTGACCCATTGGCTGAAAAGAGCCAGCTAGGGAACACAAAGGTCAAAGAGCCAGGTGGGAGGAGACATTCCTCAGGAGGGAGTTGACCCAGCACCTTCAGACCATGGGGAAGGTGGAGACCAAGCTCCAGGAAGTAACTGTTCTGCCTCCACACCACCCCCAGCTAATTTTCTGCAGCTCCAAACAGAACATTACACTCTTCACCTCAAGAATCCACCGTGGAGGCCCACTGCCTCCAGAGTGAAGTTCCAACTCCCAACATAGATTCGCAGTGTGGGCCCTGAAGCTGGCTTTATGACCTCATCTCCCCCACTCCCTTCTGTCTGTGGACAGGTGCCAGCCTCCATGCCCCAGGTACATTCATGTCTCTTTTCCTTCCAAATCAGGCAGCATTGGACAGTGTAGAGTGGGCTGCACTGATCCATGATGGTGCGACCTGGTGGGGTGTAACCTGTGAAGCGACAGTGAGTAGCTCCTTCTGTGTGAGAAGAAAGAGTCTGAAAATCTCATTCCATTACTCTCAGAGCCAGATGGACAGAAAACTTACTGGTGCTCAAGTAGTTCAGCCTTTACCAAGTAGTTCGCAGTTCCAAGCCCTGCTGACAGATGGATGCCAACTTATTGTTGGTTCAGACCTGGTAGGGTCCAGGCATGTGGAGAGCAAGGGGAATCATGCAGGTGAGGTCCGGTACCTTCCATCCTCAGTGGCAGCACCTAAGCCCCAAATCCAGCCCATGCTGAGGTGCTGGCAGGCAGTGGGTAGGCAGCTAACGATCCTTCCCTACTGACCAGACTCATCTGTGTCCAGATGCCACCAAATAGCACCTGGGCACTCTTTGTCATTTGGAGGTATTTTTTTCCTGATTTTCAGCACTTTAATTATTTCCTCTTTGGTATACAAGAGTATATTAAAGAATGTAAGTTAAGAATACTGTGTCACTCTGTGTTAGCTCTTGGATACTGCGACAAATACCCACAAGAATGAAGTATAAAGAGAGAAGTTTCATTTGGCTCACAGTTTTCAAGTCCACAGTCCATGGTCACTTGTCCTCATCACTTTGGGGCATGAAGCAGAGCCTCTCACTCCATAGCAGCTGGGAAGCAAAGCAGGTGGAAGGGACTGGCACCCTACAGTACCTGCCTCCCACCAGAGCCCATCTCTTGCAGATTGCATGCCTCACAACAGCATGAGGATGGGGGGCTAAGGCTTCAACACGTACGGTCCTCTGGGGGACCCTCTAGATGCTGACCTCCCCATCTTTACCTGGCAGAATCATCACTTGCTATTTTGGTGCTTACGAAGCTAAAATTACCATGTGCAGGTCAAGGTCAGCAAACATTTCTGGCGATGCCCAAGTGGTAAATACTTCAGGAAGTGTGCGTCAAGAGCCAAATCAGATGATCTTATAGCTGCACTCTACCTGAAAGAACACAAAGCCAAGCATGCTGGTGCACATCTGTAATCCTAGCACTCGGGAGGCTGAAGCAGGAGGATCACAGGCAAGCTTGATCCTGGCCTGAGCAACCAAGTGAATTAGCAAGACTCTGTCTCAAGGGTTTTTTTTTTTTTT